TTGGGTTGCTTTCTGAATGTACACTTACCCTACATATAAAACTCTCTTACACATATATGAGTTTCTGTGGTTTTGTTTCTCCAGTTTACCTAGATTAACACAACTATGTTGGGAGTGACTAATTCAAGAGAAATGGTTTTGTCTTCATTGTTGGGACAGTATTTATACATCTACAAGGAAGAGAAAATGAATTATTCAAATTTATACACCAAACACTAAAGCCAATGATGAAGAAACTGAAGAATTCTACCTAATTCTTCAATCTGAAATTGATGAAGCATGGAATCAAAATGCAATGATAATTACTAGTGATTCGGTGTGAAAGTTGGAAACAAAGAACGGGTCATTGGAAAATATGGTCTTGGTGATAGAAATAAAGCTGGATGTCGTATCACAGTACTTTGGAGGGTCAATGACTTCTTCATTGTTTAAGTACCTTATTCCAGTAATATAAACTGCAACGATAAAAGTGGATCTCCCTCTATGGACTATACAGGAATCAAATTGACTACATCTATAAAAAGAGAAAATATAGAATCTCAGTATTATCAGTCCAAGCAATGCTAGGGGCTGACTATGGAACAGACTATCAGTTACTCTTAGACAAATTAAGGCTGAAGCTAAAGATGACTAAAACAAGTATATGAAAGCCAAAATATGACCCCAAACATCTTACTCCTGAAGTTAGAGAACATCGCAAGAGCAGATTTGACACTTGAAACACTAATGATCAATGAGTTGTGCATGACATCAAGGACATCATGAAGAAAGTCAAAAGACATTAAAAAGACAGGAAATAAAGCAAAGTCCAGATTCCAGAAACTAGAAAACTTGCCCTTGAATCTGGAGTAGTCCAAGGAAGGAGCCCTAGCAGCGTGGTGGTGTAGTGGTTATGCGTTGGGCTGCAATTTCAAGATCAGCGGTTTGAAAATAACAACTCCATAGGAGAATGGTGAGACTTTCTACTCCCATAAACAGTTATAGTCTTGGAAACTCACAGGGGTCCCTATGAGTCAGCATTGACTCAATGGCAGTGAGTGAGTAAAACAACTAGGGAAGGAGCCCTGGGAGCATAGGGGATTACACATTGGGGTGCTAACCACAAGGTCAGCAGTTTAAAACCACCAGTTGCTTCATTGGGGATGGAGGAAGGATTGAGGCTTTCAACTCCTATAAAAATTTACAGTCTAGCAAATAGAGATGGTTCTACTCTGTCCTATTGGTCGCTATGA